GTATCCATCAAGCATTGTCTTTGGCTTGGTAAGACTACACTTGTTGTACTCATCTTTTTCATATAGTGAAGATTGATCATTGTTTTGTGGACGTAGGCATAAATTGCCGAACCACATAAATTCTTGGTGTCCATTTTCTACTTTACTTTGTGCATTCTCTATCTTGTAGTACCGACATTCCTAACAAGTGGTATCAGAGCCAGGTTGATTCGTACTACGAGATGGAAGGAAGTGGCATTATGATCAAACTCACCAACTCTAATTGGGTAACATGGAAGCCAATGATGGAGGACATTCTCTATTGCAAAGATCTGCATGAGCCAATTGAAGGAGATGCCGCTAAGCCCGAGAGCATGTCCGGTGCCGAGTGGAAGAAGATGAATCGCAAGGCAATTGGCATAATTAGACAATGGGTGGATGATAGTGTTTTTCACCATGTGTCTAATGAAACCAATGTCCGTGAGTTTTGGATGAAGCTTGAGTCCTTGTTTGAGAAGAAGACCCCAGCCAAGAAAGCCTTCTTGATCAAAGAGCTCATCAATGTGAAGTACAAGGATGGTTTAAGTGTAGCAGAACACTTGAACAATTTTCAGAATATCATCAACCAGTTGGCTACTATGAAAATGACGATCGAGGACGAGCTACAAGCGCTCTTGTTACTTGGATCATTGCCAGACAGTTGGGAGACCTTTGTGGTGAGTATAAGTAACTCTGCTTCTAATGGTGTTCTTACTCTTGATAATGTTAAAAATAGCATGCTCAATGAAGAAACAAGGAGAAAGACGTCAGGCACAAATAGCAGCCAAGTATTTGTCACAGAGAACTGCAGAAGAAGCAAGAGTAGAGGGCCTAGAGGTCATGGCAGGAGTCCTAGCCGATCCAAGTCAAGGTTCAGGGGTGGATGCCACCATTGTGGCAAAGAATGCCATATGAAGAAAAATTGTCGAGTTTGGAAGAGAGAGCAAAGGGAAGGAAACAATCAGAAGAAATATGATACTGGCAGTACCACCGCTGTCATATGTGGTGATGTACCAGAAATATTGTCTGTTGGTGAATGTCTGCATATGTGCAACTCTGACAGAGACATTGAATGGATCTTTGACAATGGAGCTTCCTTCCATGCTACGTCCAAACGGGAGTTTTTTAGTACATACAAAGAAGGTGACTTTGGCATAGTGAAGATGGGGAATGAAAGCTATTCCAAAATTCTTGGAATTGGTGATATTTGCCTAAGAACTAATCTCGGCTGCCAGTTGATGTTGAAAGATGTGAGACATATTCCTGATGTACGTCTCAATTTGATATTCATTAGTACCCTTGATCGATAAGGATATTATCACTATATTGGCGAAGGAAAATTGAAGCTTACCAAAGGCTTAATGGTGGTAGCAAGAGCACAACTTTGTTGTATGTTGTACCGGTCAAATGCCAAGGTTTTGAAATGTGAGTTGAATGCTGTGGAGGACTCATCTCTAGACTTGTGGCATAAGAGACTAGGCCACATGAGCGAGAAAAGTCTACAAGTTTTGGCAAAAAAGTTTCACATTCCCTTTGCCAAAGGTACGTCGTTAAACTCTTGTGAGCATTGTTTATTCGGAAAACAAAGAAAAGTTAGTTTTTCTGTTCCATCTACAAAGAAAGGAAATTTGTTAGATCTTGTTAATTCAGATGTGTGTGGTCCCATGGAAGTCGAGTCACTTGGAAGAAATAAATATTTTGTTACTTATATTGATGATGTTTCACGAAAGGTCTGGGTCTTATTGTTAAAATCCAAAGACCAGGTGTTTCAGACATTCCAGGAGTTTCCTGCCATGGTGGAGAGGGAAACTGGGAAATCTCTCAAGTGCTTTCGTAGCGACAAGGGCGGCGAGTACACATCTCACAAGTTTAGAGAGTATTGTGTGAAACATGGCATACGTCAAGAGAAGATAGTTCCTGGAACTCCACAACATAACGGTGTTGCTGAAAGAATGAACCGAACCATCATGGAGAAAGTCAGGTGCATGCTGAGGACTGCAAAGTTATCTAAGTAGTTCTGGGGTGAAGCTGTAAGGACAGCCTGTTATTTGATCAACTGATCTTCATCAGTACCATTAGGTCTTGATGTTCCAGAGAGAGTATGGACTGATAATGATGTGTCTTACTCTCATCTGAAGGTATTTGGTTGCAAAGCTTTTGTGCATGTGCCCAAAGAGCAGAGATCGAAGTTAGACTACAAAGCTACATCGTGCATCTTTCTTGGTTATAGAGGTGAAGATTTTGGTTACACATTATGGGACCCATACCAGAAGAAGTTTTTCAGAAGCAGAGATGTGATCTTTTATGAAGACCAAATAATTGGGGATTCGAATAAAAAGGCACAACCATATGATGCAGTCAGAGGAGTTGATCCATTAGCTTCAGATGAAGAAAGTCGCGGTGATATCCCTGAAGCAGCTATCAATGAAGTGCCTGTAGAACCAGATAATGTCGACCAGGGGGGCCTGATCAAGATGAGCCAGACCCTAAAATTGCTGATCGGGGGGAGCCTGAAGAGCAGATTCAAGAGGAACCTAATCAGGGGGAACATCCAGACCCGCAAGAGAATGAAGACCAGGTCAGAAGATTCAGCAGAAGTCGAAGACCGTCTACCAAGTATTCTTCATCAGAGTATATCATGTTGACTAATTATGAAGAACCTGAAACTTATGAGGAGGCTAGAGCTCATAACGACAGTGACAAATGGATGAAGGCAATGGAGTCAGAGATGGATTCCTTATCAAAGAATGATACCTACGAGCTAGTGAAGCTTCCAAAGGGCAGAAAAGCATTGAAAAACAAGTGGGTGTTCAAATTGAAAAGAGACGACAACATGACAAGGTACAAGGCTCGTTTGGTTGTCAAAGGTTTTGGTCAAAAGAAAGGAGTTGACTTTGATGAGATTTTCTCACCGGTAGTGAAGATGACTTCCATTCGAGTTATCCTTAGTATGGCAGCAAGCATGGATCTTGAGCTCGAGCAGTTAGACGTTAAAACTGCATTTCTCCATGGCAACTTATAAGAAGAGATACATATGGAGCAACCCAAAGGCTTTGATGTTAAAGGTAAATAAACTTTGGTGTGCAAGCTCAAGAAAAGTTTATATGGTCTTAAGCAGGCTCTGAGACAATGGAATAAGAAGTTCAACTCATTCATGGTGAGTAATGGGTACAAGAGCTCATGCTGACTCTTGTGTCTATATCAAACAATTTTCTGGAGGAAAATTCATCATTTTATTGCTTTATGTTGATGACATGTTGATTGTCGGTCAAGATGCTTCTATGATTAAAAAGCTCAAAGAAGAGTTATCTAAGTCCTTTAACATGAAGGACTTAGGGCCAGCCAAGCAGATTTTGGGCATGGAGATAATTTGTGACAAAAAATCCAAGAAGTTGTGGTTGTCACAAGAAAAGTATGTTGAACAGGTGCTTGAAAGGTTCAACATGAAAGCAGCCAAATCGGTAAGCTCACCTTTAGCCAATCATATCAAGTTGAGCAAAGAGTCGTGTCCAAAAACATATGAAGAAAAGGAGAAAATGGCAGTTGTTCCCTACTTTTCAGCAGTAGGAAGTATCATGTATGCAATGGTGTGCACACAGTCAGATATTGCTCATGCAGTAGGTGTGGTGAGTAGGTTTCTCTCTAATCCAGGGAAAGACCATTGAGAAGCTGTTAAGTGGATTCTCATATATTTGAAAGGGACTTCTAAGATGTGCTTGTGCTTTGGCGGTTCCAAACCAATCTTGGAAGGATTTACAGATGCTGACATGGAAGGTGACCTGGATGGTAGAAAATCTACGTCTGGGTACTTGTTTACTTTTGCAGGGGGAGCCGTGTCTTGGCAATCCAAGTTGCAAAAGTGTGTTGCTTTGTCCACAACTGAGGCTGAATACATAGCCGCTACAGAAGCATGCAAGGAGTTGTTGTGGCTGAAGCGGTTTCTCCAAGAGTTGGGTTTGAAGCAAAGTGATTATGGCATTTATTGTGATAGTTAGAGTGCTCTGGATTTGAGCAAGAACACTACATATCATTCACGCACTAAGCACATTGATATTCGTTATCACTGGATTAGAGATGTTATCGAGAACAAGTTGCTACAGCTAAAGAAGATTCATACCGATAATAATTCTTCAGACATGTAGACAAAGGTAGTCACAATCAAAGTTGGAATTTTGCATTAAGGCTGCTGTGATGGACTCCAGGTAACTTGGAGTCATGATCAGAATTCCTTCCTCATAGACTGGAGGGGGAGATTGTTGGTATATGGTCCAGCCCATGATCAATGTTCTAGATTATTCTAGTAAGCAAGTGAGGTGGCTGGAGCATTCTAGACATTTCTAGCATGATATTAAGTTGATGGAAGAAGTTAGAGAGTACTAGCTTCCTTGGTTGCAAATGGAAAGATCTAGAAGCTACAATGTTGTGGCTAGTCTAGAATTATCTATGCTAGAGGTTTGAAGAATACACTAGAAACTAGTAGAATGCCAAACCCTCACCTATAACTATGGGTGTGATGTTGTAGTGAAGTAACCAATTAAGAACCAAGTGTGAGTAGCAAAGGATCAAGTCCAAAGCTAGAGTTCCACTCCAAGAGTGAGAGTGAGAGTGAGAGTGTTCCACTACACATCTACACATTGTGAGTGAAGTTTAGAGTGATAGAAAGTGTATGTCATACTTTCTTGTATCCATCAAGCCTTGTCTTTGGCTTGGTAAGACTACTCTTGTTGTACTCACCTTTTTCATATAGTGAAGATTGATCCTTGTTTCGTGGACATATGCATAAATTGCCGAACCACATAAATTCTTGGTGTCCATTTTCTACTTTACTTTGTGCATTCTCTATCTTGTAGTACCTACATTCCTAACACAAACCACATTTTAGTAACTTCTTTAGAGTAATATAATATCGTTCGAGTTAATATGTAGATGTAGTTAATATGTAGATGTAGTTAATACAAATACTGAAATTAACCAAGTATTGCTAATACCAAACACACAGAATTGACGAATATCTACTTCAAATCTTTCTACAAGTTGATCACCAATCACAAAACAACAGTGTGGTGGCATTTTATGATTTAATTAACTACCGTACGTAGCTGCAAATTGAGCACTTAACTGCCTCCTTACTTCGAGGACTAATAACACTAGGAATTCAAGCAGCTCAGATGGTTGGTAATATCTATCGATATTTCTACTGTACTTTGAAATATTCTATACTTCGAAATTTTTAACTGTTAAATTCCAATTATTGTTTTTTATCAAGAACTTAACGGTTAAGAACTCCGGCATATAGAATTCCCTTTAAATATTATTTCCTTCGTGAACATTACTTGTGGCTGAAGGTATTGGATAATTCCAATTCAGCAACTCCTCTATCATCTGCATTGCAAGTTTATCCTCTTCATCCTGATCTGCCTCACTCATTCCACCCTCAGTCAACCCCACCATTGACGATGACGTCAAGGATGACAGTGATTCCTCTTGATGATCATGATCAGAACTCTGATTCTTCTTCTTCCCAAGCTCAATCCTCATGACCCAATTGGAGCTCGCCCGCGATCCAGCAGGGCGCTTCTGCCAGACCCCAATGTCGGAATTGTCATTGTCGAGTCTCAGGCAAGTGAGGGAGGGAGATGGGTCTTTGCAGCATTTCCTGAGCTTGGCGCTGAGCAGCTCGGAAAGTGCTTTCGGAGACCATGGAGTGTTTTGGTCGGTGGCAGGTTTCGTTTCTTGGTCGGAATTGTTGTCTGATATCGGAAAATTGGTCTTGGCATTCTGTCCGTTCATCAAAATTGCTGCTTGGTCATATGCTCTTGCTGCTGCCTCTGCTGTCTCAAACGTCCCTAGCCACACCCTCCTCTTCCTAAAACCATCAACAACACACCAAAAAAAACAAAAAACAATAGAGAAAGTAAGAATCATTTCAATAGCATGGTGATCGAGTAGCGCAGTTAAACTGACATGTTATGTCACTAGATTCTTTCTTGTCAGACAGTCTGACATGTTACCATCCGACTGTTAGTGTTTGGAGTTAAAAATGATGAAATGGGGGTGGATGAAGTATTAAATGGAAGAATGTGAGAGTATGGTGGACTTACAGTAATGGGTGGCGAATTTCTGACACCCAAGAGCCCCACTGGCGCTGCCTGACTCCTCTGAACTTCCTTGTTTGTACCATGTTTTTATGATTTTTGAGAAATATCCATAGAGAGAGAGTTTTTGAGAGATGAGATGTTAGAGTGATGAAGGAAGAGTATAGGCATTTATAAGAACTGTCGGTGACTTGCAAGGTCGGAAAGTCTATAGTATAGAGGGAGAGAGTGCGGGTAATAAAGTCATTCACCTGCACACCCTCAGGTTCTTGACAACTGGAACAAAAGGAAATGAGCGTCATGATATGATCCTTTCTCCCTGTCCCGCCCAAAAAGAAATTGCATTTACTATTTCTTACCAACAGAAATAAAATATAAAATTAAAAAAAATTCATATTTTGTTTACTCTAATCAAATTAGCCTAGGGTTTCTTAATCCGACGAATAACATCGAACTTTTTGGGAAATTCTTGGGCATAACGTGTACATGCAACATCTTTCTCACAATACGAGCATTGTACACACTTTCATGGGCGACAAGTTTTTCGTTTATATGTTGCATACTAAAGATTTTTCTTTTCCCTCAGATGCTTAGGTCGATTTAGAATTTTTTTTTTTTAGGATTATACTATTCTTTTAGGACCAGGGTTTATTTAAAAATCATGTTGATCAAACCCATCAAAGGGTTTATTAATACAATTCAAAACAAGACTCAATGTTAAGAAATTTTTACGCACAACAAATATATACAATGTCTCTTTTCTCACAATATGAGGGAGGTTTTGTATACACTTATGTGCAACTTTTCGTCGTTGAGGCATAATAAAGACCTTTTCTTCATCTTTTCTTTTTCCTCGGATTGGCATTAAGGTGTTTGGTTAGGGGTTGACTCAAAAGACGTGGATTGGTTATTTACTCTTCTAGGACCACAAAGGTCTCTAAATTATTGACCTTTTGGCGTCCAAATTTATTGTTTGGCTTTGAATTTTCGACCTATTTTCAGTTTATCATGTAGCATGACTTGAATTATTGATCCCCTTTTCCATGTTTGGCTTAACACCATCTTCCGGACTAAATAAATGAAAGGATGTTGTTGTCAAGTTGGCTCGCCATCTAATTGTTGCAATAGGTTCTTGGAAGCTTTAGACATGCAGATGCAGTCAGTATTGGAATAGCAAGTAGCAACTCGAGAGGGAAGCAAGTGTAGAATACTGTAGGATTTATCGGCCTAGCTACTTTGTCGGATCCAGGCAGAAACTTCATGCGTGTTTATTGGTGCTGGGCGATGGGTCGTGACTCGTGATAGCTAGACGACTTATCCGATTCGTGATTTAGTTTTTATTTTTTTATTTTTTTACTCTTATTAGGATTCTCTCCTTTCTTTTTTTTCCCTACTCTTCTCTCATCTCCTATTTGAACGATCACGATTAAATCACATCAATATATTATGTTGACATTTTTTATAGAAAGAGATAAAGAGACGGAGTGGAGAGTGTGAGATGCGGGGAGGGAAGGAGAGGGAAATTGGAGGAGAGAGAATCCTACTTCTATTTTAGGAGGGTATCGGCTTACCTAGAAGGATGCCTATTGTACCCTAAAACCTGTACTGTAGATAGGACTTCAGGGTTTTCTTTTTTTGTAAAAGAAATACAAGAGAAACACTTTGAGACATTGTGAGAGTTGTGAGATACCAAGAACTAGGGTTTGGTGGAAGAGGATCTAGTCCGGATCTCTCCCATCAAAGGTCCAGGATCAAATGATATGAGCTGTTAAAATTTGATCCAACGGCTACAAACATAGGGACTCTCTAAAAGTTATAATAATTGTAGCCGTTAGATCAAATTTCAACGTCTCTAATCACTTGATCATGGACCCTTAATGAGATAGATCCAGACCAGATCCTCTTCCGGGTTTGGTTGGTTGTGTGAGTTATTAGAGTCCATTGAAAAAAAAAATATCTTGTTTCCGTGCTCGTTGTTATAACTACTTTTTTAATATATATTTTTTAAAATCTTTTTTATTATTGCGTTAAAAAAAATAGAACCATGAACTTAATATAATCCAACCACATTACATCACTTTTCTTCGCCATTGACTAACTCCCATTGACTTTCTTTTTACTCTTTCCAGCACAGAATAAATTGCTGTCTCATAAAACCAATCGATTAAAATTTATAAATTGGTAGAGACTTAGCACTCAAGCACCAAGTAGTTAGTAAATTTAGTAGTGAGTTTGGTATGGTTATTGTACCCAAATCTTTATACAAATTACCATATCAAATTTTTGATATGGCAATACCAAAATTTTGGTATACCATAGAATTTAGATTGGCAAGATATAATAATGGTATTGTACCAATTTGGTATTCTGCTATATTTCTGGGCTCGAATCTAACTTTTAGCCCAAAACATTTTTTGCTTTATTTTCTTTTGTAAAGTAAATTAAAATGACGTTAACCACTAGTATAGGCTTAAAATAATGTGTTACATTGGCATATTCCATAATAAATTAATACATTAAATTGATTTGTACATAAAGCACATTGGTTTACATAATCTTCACCAAATGACTTGGAAGGTGCACAATAGGCATCTTGGAAGCAAAGAAGGAACTTATTCTAGCTTGAATTTTATGCAGATATATCCCTTCCTTCATAGACAAACTCACTGAGATTCTCCCCCTACCTCTCTCTTTCTATATGTATATGATTTATTCCAAAACCTCTTCAAATCTCTCCCCAACAAAGTAGCTTTTGTACAATACCATACAGACCTCTCACGTAAGTCTTTGTACACACAATTTCATTATAGTTTATATCCAACAGTCAAGAGGGTGTCCTTATTTTTTTAGAAAAATGAGGATCCCTTTTGTTAAAGGATTCCTATATATATATATATATTATATACATTTGTTAAAGTTTTGCCCCATATAATAAAGGGAACTTTAACGAAAAGCATCCGGTACTGTTCACTTTAACGAAAAACCACATTTTTACACTAAAAACTCAATCCTGATACTATTCACTTTACCCTTTATTTTGTCCTTATCATTAAAACTCAAAGTTTTCAAGCCATTTTTATTAGTTTTCCTAGAATCCTTAGAAGTTTGTTCAATTTATGTTGCTTTAACTCTTCCGTGAAGCTATATAGTATTCTTTTATATATGTATGTGTATATACATGCATATGCTTCACCTCTATGTTTTGTTGCAGTCGAGCAATTCCCAAAAGAGTTTTAGTCACGGAAGTTAATAAATACAATGTCACGTTTGCTTCATGGGATGCTTTATGCAACAATATATGAAGTTGATAGGCTGGACACTGGATGCGGGTTCAACTTATTGTGCAAGGTACCTTGTTTTTTCAGTACGATTGAACCGAAACCTTTTAATTCTGTGCATCATTTATTTGAGCTAGTTAATTTGGATGTCACTTTTTTGTTTTATGATGTTATTATAATGCATAAGAAGTGGTTATGCGGGAAACAAAGTATAAACCGACCAAGGAAAATTGCCTCTTTTCTACTTTTTTTTTTTTTTTTTTTTCCCTCAAAATCATGTAAAGGGGTAAAAATTGATATGGTTGTAAATATTTTTTTTTTGTTGGTATGATATGGTTGCAAAGTTGTAGAACGAGGTGGCACAATAAAACCCAAATGACTTTTCAAAGCACTTCTTTAAAACAATATTATGCAAATTTGATGATTTCAAGTTTTTTCTTTTTCCCCATGTGAGATTTATTATTAACACGTCCTCTTATGTGGACAACATAAATCGGGTGACATAGAGTACGTGTAGCCGATGGGTGTTACACATAAACAACCTTATCTTATAAGCACATGCAAAAACTATTCTTTCTCCAATTTGAGATTTGTACTTTCAACATAATATATATGAAATATTTGTTGAGAAAAGCTTTTGATCCTTGACTAAACTATAAAGTCATTATCCCCAGGTTGTACCAAACATATTCTAATGCCTCCAAGAATGTGTCAAATTTTGTTTCTCCTTCATAACTTTCTTAACTTTAAATCCTCTTCAGCTCATACAAGATAAAGAGATGTCCTGCAAGTCCGTGACTTTGCCTTAATAAATCTTTCTTATACTTTCTTATGCTATTTTTTTTTTTTTTTTGGTTACCTGCAAATCCTCTGCTACAAAATCGGTGCATCATCTTTTATGAGTAAAATAGCCATGCAAATTAATCTGGTGAACTGTAACTTTTGTTTCCCCAAATTGTACTGGAATACCATGCATAACGTCTCATATTTCAAACTTTTGACCGTATTTGAATGCTTAATTTCTCTTTTGCTCAAGTGTTCTTACCTGATATTTTTTCTTCCTTTACTTTTGACATTGTGGATGCCCCAAAGTCACCTAAAAGGTTTGCAACTCAAATCAAGAAGTTGGTGCTTTGCCGACCCCAGCAGGTATATTATACTTCCTTTGCCAAATATATTTATATCAAGTTCATTTTCCTCCAAAACTAATATTTTTCTGCATAATTCACTCTGACATTTACCATATACATTTTGTATATAGATTGTTGGATCCAAACTCTATGCAACAATTGATCTAGACAAGGCGAGGGTCGGCCGGACGCGAATGGTAAATGATCCAAACAATCCGAAATGGAGGGAAGAATTTTACATCTACTGTGCCCACAACATCTCACAAATTATATTCACTGTCAAAGATGATGATCTCATTGGGGCAACCCTAATTGGAAGAGCATATATACCAGTTGGGGACATAATCAAGGGTTATGTGGAGGAAAGATGGGTTGAAATTTTGGATGAAGATCACAATCCCATCCATGGTAATTCTAGAATTCATGTCAAGTTACAATTTTCCAGTGTTGCAGAAGATTTTCATTGGTCACTTGGGATTAGAAACCCTAAGTATGAAGGTGTTCCTCGGACGTTTTTCAATCAAAGGGAGGGTTGTAGGGTTACTCTATACCAAGATTCGCATGTTGCAGATGAATTTAATCCTCATATTCCTACGCCCCTAGGCGGATTATATGAGCCGCAGAGATGTTGGGAGGACATCTTTGATGCAATCACTAATGCAAGGCACTTTATTTACATAACTGGATGGTCTGTGTACACTAAAATAACCTTGTTAAGGGACCCAAGAAGGCGAAAAGATGACATCACACTAGGGCAGCTTCTTAAGAGGAAGGCTGATGAGGGCGTTTTGGTTCTTTTGCTTGTTTGGGATGATAGGACTTCTATTGAGGAGTTGAAGAAGGATGGTTTGATGACAACTCATGATCAAGAAACCGAAGAATATTTTCGAAACACAAAAGTGCATTGCTTCTTATGCCCTCGGAACCCTGATGTAGGGAAAAGCATAATTCAGGGTTTTCAGACTGCCACGATGTTTACTCACCATCAGAAAACGATTGTGTTGGACAGTGAGATATCAGGCAGAGGATCACAAAAGAGGAGGATTGTGAGCTTTGTCGGAGGCATTGATCTTTGTGATGGAAGATATGATACTCAAGAACATCCCTTGTTTGCAACCCTAGGCACAACCCACCAGAATGATTTCCATCAGCCCAACTTTGCAGGCTCTTCAATTAGGAAAGGTGGTCCAAGGGAGCCCTGGCATGACATTCATTGCAAACTGGAAGGGCCGGTTGCTTGGGATGTCTTATACAACTTTGAGCAGAGGTGGAAAAAACAGGTTGGAGAGAAGTTCTTAATTCCACTAGGCAAACTTGAAGAAATCACAGTTCACCCTTTACAAGATATGTTTTCGAACGACGACGAATCATGGAACGTTCAGCTATTCAGGTCCATTGACAATGGGGCTGCTTTTGGCTTCCCTGAAAAGCCTTCTGAAGCAACACAAATAGGACTTGTGAGTGGGAAGAATAACATCATCGACCGAAGCATTCAAGACGCGTATATCCATGCCATTCGCCGAGCCAAAAACTTCATTTACATTGAGAATCAGTATTTTCTTGGAAGTTCATTTGGATGGAGATCAAAAGACATTAGAGATGCGGATATCAATGCTTTACACCTTATACCGAAGGAGCTTTCGCTAAAGATTGTTAGCAAAATTGAAGTCGGAGAGAGGTTCAGCGTCTACATTGTTGTCCCAATGTGGCCAGAAGGTATGCCTGAGAGTGCTTCTGTTCAGGCTATATTGGATTGGCAAAGAAGGACAATGGAGATGATGTACACTGATATCTCAGAAGCCCTTCAGAAAAAGGGCTCAAATGCAAACCCTAGGGATTATCTCACATTCTTCTGCCTCGGCAACCGGGAGCGGGAGATGGATGGAGAATATAAACCTCCCGAGACTCCAGAGCCAGACACCGATTACAAAAGAGCTCAGAAGGCCCGGCGTTTCATGATTTACGTGCATTCAAAAATGATGATAGGTAAGTGACTCATAACCGCATATTTCCATTAGAACTAGCATGTTAGAATGAAGAGTCCTAATTCGTAGTCTAGTAACATGTTATAGCACGTCAGAATTTATGGTCTTGAATCACGGCTTAGCAACGTAACATGTTAGATACCTCGTACAGATTACTAGTCATTATGTTCCAATATTGATTAAAGTAATTTTTCTAGCATGTGTCTTGTTTTAGTTGATGATGAATACATAATCATTGGATCTGCCAACATAAACCAAAGGTCCATGGATGGGGCAAGGGACTCTGAGATTGCTATAGGAGCATTCCAACCTAACCATTTAGCTTCGAAAATCCCAGCCAAGGGCCAGATCCATGCTTTCAGGCTAGCACTATGGTATGAGCACCTCAAAGTGCCTGACGACTCCTTCGTGCATCCAGAATCTTTGGAATGCATCCGAAGAGTGAACCAGATTGCCGAAAGAAACTGGGAATTTTACTCGAGCGACACGATTGATGACATTCCAGGTCACCTTCTCCACTACCCCATTGCGGTAAGCAATAATGGAGCTCTAACAACACTGCCTGGCTTCGAATATTTTCCCGATACCAAGGCTCGTGTTTTCGGCGCCAAATCTGACTACCTTCCTCCAATCCTCACCACTTAGCTGTTGTGCTTCCTCTAAAAGTGTAGTTCCAGTTGAATAATTCAAATGTAAATTCCTACTAGTCACTAGCAATGTTGGTTCCTGATGTGTACAAAAACATATGCAAATAATATCCAAATAAAAGTTTAATGTCCACCAACTGTGATGTTGCATTTGCTTTTTTTTTTTTTTTTTTTTTCTTTTAGTTCCTCTGCCCCATAATGCAATGGAATTTCCCGATATGACCTCACCAAGAAAGACATAACTGGCAGAAGCTATTTGTTGTAGGGAAATTACTTTTGCACATCCCTTCTGCACTATAATTTTTTTATAGTATTGGATTAAACAAATCAAAGGAGATTAAAGATTAAAACCAAAAAAAGGGCAACTTTTAAAATGTTAAAAAAGTGATACATTTGAGAGGTGGTTTTCATGCATACAAAATTGTAAATTAGTTGACATCTTTTTTTGCCTTATACATTTCAATTTTTATGTTAATATTCTGATTCACCCAAATCAGATCAGAACTTCAGAATACACTTCATATACCCACAACAATCAAATAATTGAGTTCTTTTACCCCAAATCCAATAACTAATGTCATCTAAAAAAATACGGCAACAAGAAAAATGATGTAAAAGTACACAGCTTCGGATCTCTTTACACCAAGGCTACTGGATTAAGTGATCCGGACCTTTGAAATTTTATCCAACGGCCTACCTATTTTGATTCTTGGGAAAAGATGAAATAATTTTTTATTGTTCGATGAAATTTCAAAAACCCGAATTACTTGATTCGGTAGTCCTGGTGGAAGATATCTAGAGAGAATCTCTTTCCAAAGAACACTAATTGGATGATGATAACATGATTGATGGAATCCATCACAAACCCCATTACCAACACAATCCTAGAATTTCACAGAAGTTGTTGTAACTTGTAACCTTTGGTTCTGTCTCCCTACTCACATTTGACAAACTAATAGTACAATCACAGGACACATAAAAATATTAAGAAAATAAAAAGAAAGAAATAAATAAAAGAGAAGGGGAAAAGGTTGAAGAAGAACAGAGGGTGCCCCTTGGTTGAATCAGAAGCCAACCAGAGGGCCATCTGTTCCATGAAGGAGAGAAGGACCTAACACGTATGATATACCCAATTTCCAATCCAACTATGCCATCTTTCAGGTTCATTATAATTAAATTAAATAAAATCATTTTTCTTTTTTATGATTTTAATGTATTTCTTCCTTGGGAATCAAATAGAAACATGGATCTTAGGTTGCATATGAATTTTGCTAACATTAAATTGTGGGTTAATCATTTTTTTTTTGTTGGAAAATTGTGGACTCTGATGCATAGACACGGACACGAGGATACAACACAATCTCAAACGGTGATACGTTGAATTTTTAAAAATGAAGACATGATACAACATGGATAACAATAAAAAATATGGAGTTTTAAAGAAAATCCCGCGATGCTGTTCATTTTAACGAAAAACCATATTTTTACACTAAAAAGTCAAACCTGATACTATTCACTTTACCATTTATTTTGCCCTTATAATTAAAACTCAAAGTTTTCAAACTTTTTCATTAGTTTTCCTTAAAAAATATTAATTACCCAAATATAAATTTATACAATTCAAACTCTAAAAAAGAAAGGGTGGTGGTATAGAGCCGCTGGGCTCTGTAATTAGTAATTTCGGGCTATAGTCTCATTTAAACCCGAAAAATAATTAATAAAAATATGTGGTGTCGTTTTTCTCTACTGAAACAAACAAACGGCATGTCGACCTATTGCATTCATCTTCTTCACGAAGCCTCCTTCCACCAGATCGGGTCGTCTCCGTGCGACACCTTCTTCCACCAGATCGGGTCGTCTTCTTCGCGAGGCCTCCGTCTACCACATTGCGTCATCTCCGTCGCGAGGTTTTCTTCCACGTATCCAGACCGTCAGATACCCGTATCCATCTGTCAAACGCCGTATCTGTATGGGATTATGCAGGATCGTGAGGTTTGTTTCTCTCCTTTGTGGATTCAGGATTTTGGTGGACAAGTTTGAGCTTGGCCGCTTCTAGATGAAAAGCTGTAGATATTTCCCCTCTTGGGTCTCTGCCATTTTCACATGCGTGGGGTGAGTTTCTCTTTCTTTCTGTTATTTTTTGAGAGAAAAAAGGTTGTGGGTTCTGTTTGTTTCCTGAGAAAATTAAGGAAAATGAAGAAAAGTTGAAAACTTTGGATTGTTTATGTTGATTTTCTCAGCAACCAAACATAGGCATCCTGCTCTAATTGTCTGGTTATTGAGAGAATGAGGGAAGAATCATTAAAGTGAGACTTCACATGTCAGATGAGATTTGTTTTTCCAAGTATTGACTCTTGAAATTGAAATCTGAGATATGCAACTCCTTGGTGTTGTAAAATTGATTTTGCTCTTTCTGGGATGCTGACATCACAGGAAAAAAGAAGAAGATTTTAAAGTGAAAATTTGCTGTTTTTACTTTGTTTTCCCCCTTAGTTTTCTGGATGACCAAACAGGGACTTTATGTTTCTTCTGTAGCTCAAGCTTGTTCCTTTAACTTTGTTTTAGAATCTTTGTACTTTGGTTTACTTGTTCGCTAAGTGATCCTGAGAGTGAGTGAATGGAAATGTGTTTCCAGCTTTTTTATTTCACATTCTTTGCTTCAAGCCTTAGGCATTTGGTAATTATATTCTTAGGGGTTTCCCTTCGCATGGATTTCTATAGGAAATATGTATTCTGGGTGTTGTTTTTGGTCTCAGATAGAGAGATGCTTTGAGAAGAAACTGTGCTGTTCATTTTTTGTGTTTTCCGGTGCTTGTTTTAGATCTTTTGTGGTTGTAGTTATGGAGAAAATCAATACGAAATGCAAGGCTCTTTTCAGAGTAAGGGATGCATGTTCGTTCTTTTTCATATGTAAACAATTTATTTGTAATGAATTTCTACTCCAGGGAATGATAATGCCTTGTCTTGTTATAAGAGTTTTTCACAATTGGATTGTCAGTACTGTCTGGAGTGCACTGTTTGTTGAACTTGGATCTGGTGGCGTGAGTTTGAGTGGCTAAGTTATTTTCTCATGTTTGAGTTTAATAACTTTAGTTACAAGGCTTCATTGTAGCAATGGTTGAATTCGGTACCATTGCAGTGATATTTTCGCTTTATGGATAATGATGGGTCTAAATTCATGCATGGCCGTATATCTCCATTATTGTTGAATGCTCGCTTTATATTTTTTCTTAGGCAGACTATGAATTGCCTTTGACAGCAATGCAAACCTTTTTTCTGTGAGAGTGCATGCTTAGGAGCTTGCATCATTTTCTTTTGTAAGGTTCTGTCTTGTTTACCTGAAAAAGAAAGCCAGATTTGATTATGGGTGGAAGTTTCATTAATTGGAAAATTCTACAGTTTTAAATCATGTTGATATGTATGCATCCGCACTTCAACTGTTTCCTTATTTCTTTGTTTCTGGGGTGTGGAGGCTTGGAGAGATTCCGAAGATTTTTGTATGCCGATTATATGCCCATGTAGTATTAATTTTCAATTTCCTTTTACTTGTTACAGTTTGGCATAAAATTTTGTATCTTAAATCAAATTGATAGTTGTGGCACTAATCATTTTTTGTGGTTACTTCAACCTAATTTGTAACAGAGCAGAGGCTGTCTTGGATGCTGTAGCCAACCCCGTGAACATATTCCGGTTGATGAGCAATCAAACAGACTGAGAATTCAAGGTCGATCAGTGAGAAAAAATAGCATATCAGAGGATTTCTGGAGTACTAGCACTACTGAAATGGAGAACAGCGGAGTTCAGTCTCAGAAAAGCATCTCATCTGTTAGCACTTCAAATCCCCTTGATTCCCACAGTACTTCTGCCAGCACAAGCAATACAACTGCATTTGTAAATCATGGCAAGTTCTCTCTGTGTCTCTTTCTCTTCAATGTACTTTTTGTGGGCATGCCATGTCTGACTGATATCCATGCACGTTTTATTTATCTTCAACAACAAAAGAGAAGACACTGGTGGATATTCACGAAAGTTTGATCCGCATAACCATTTTATTTTATTTTTTATGTCATCATTCTTTGATTGATCTTAGTGCTATCTTTGAGAAAAATAGAAGTTTGGCCTGGTGTTGCTGTTGCCATATTATCAAGCTGCAATATTTTAGACTAGCAAAGTGAGAGCAATGGATGATAGGTTTTGCAGTGCTTTTCTGAAACTGTGGCTTTACTATTGTCCGGAATCATATTATTGTTTTACCATGCCTCTAAATCAAATTGTTCTGTCAAACTAAATTTTTAATGTTCAAAATTTAAATGGATTCAGGTCTTTTACTCTGGAACCAGACAAGGAATCAGTGGCTTGCAAATAAACGGCCTCAACGCCAGAAGCAACTTCGAGAACCTAGAATAAGGTGAAATTTTTATTACTTGCACCTCTTGGCTCTTGCTGATATTCATTAAATCATCTCCGAACTGGTCAACCTAAACGCTTAAAGTATGAACGGACACTACCAAGCATGTAGAAATAGGTACCCTGATTACCAACTTCACCGCGTACTCGTCTTCACTTGATTTTAGCTCTCTCTTGTTTGCACATTGGATCGGCACGCAGTTGCTGCTTGTGCAAGTATTTATTCCTGGCAGTTCAATTATCAATTTTACGCTGATGATTGGATTACTGTGTTTTTTGTAGTTGGAACGCCACTTACGAGAGCTTACTCAGTACCAACAAGCCTTTTCCCCAGCCGATCCCACTTCCTGTAAGTTGACTTGGCTCTACACCTATGCCAATGCTTCAGCAAACCTCTTTGATTCTGACCATTTCTGTAATTTAAATGACAGGAAATGGTCGATTTTCTCGTCAATATTTGGGAGCAAGAGGGTTTGTATGATTGACCAAGAAAACACTGTAAAAAAAAAACTCTGTTGCTTTTTTGCATGGTTTGCTTAATTATCAATAGCGACCTTACACCATTTCTCAGCTATTGTTTTTGGAAGTTGTTATTAGCATTTGAAATAGTTGTCTTCAACTCCTTCCCTATTTTGGAGCGCTAATAATCATTTTCTTGTTTTTTTGGAAAAAAACAAAACACGAAGACTGACACTAGCGTTATTACATGTGGTTAAATGCGATT